ACAATATTCTATGGAATCACATCATGTTGGTCTGATAAACAATATATGTTTAATCGTAACACTACTGGGTATTATTATCCTGTTAAGTATGCTGTATGTAATTGTTACCTAGAGAAAATAAATGGCCATTTGAGAGGTATTTAAAATACTTTTTTATCTTAACCGATACGGTTTTTAAACAGACGATACAGTCTTTTATCTAGGTTACTTGACAAACGTTCAAAATTATCTTTGACTAACAAACTAATACTCTATAAAGTTTTACTAAAACCAATTTGGACTTATGGCATAGAATTGTGGGGTTCCGCTAAAACTTCTAATATTAAAAAAATCCAGTCTTTCCAATCCCAACAATTTTAGACACTGCAAAAGAAAACTACAGTAACTTTCACCAAAGACTAACTTACAACACAAATCCCCTGACAGAAAACCTTAAAAGCACTAGAAACCCGTACAGCCCACCTCGACGATTACGTAGGCGGTGTCCAAGAGACCTGCTGAATTGAACTATTTCTTGGATTGTGATGGGAGGCTGTGAAGCTGCCAAAAAATTTGCTCATTGCAAAGAAATTTGCAGATCGCAAATTTAATTTTTATGTTCAATTTTATGTTATGTATTAATAAATCAATAATATCTTAACCGAAAACAAAAAATTGTTGAACCTAAAAACATACACTATAAAAATATAAACTATAAGAAACAATAACACCAGAACTTCTTAATTCGTAGTACAATTTGACTCAACTATAAAGGTACCCGTATTTCTGCAAACATTACTACAATAAATTATTGCAAAGTTTTAATTTATTTTTATCCATAACCTGAGATGTATTCTGATAAATATAAAACCATAAATACACTTTCTTGAATAAAAAAAAGTTAAAATAACGATTTTTCGAATATTTATCAACTAAACTGATAATGAAAATGTGGTCCATTCCCAGGTCTCTAAAGTGACCAACTAAATGTTCCTAATCTAATATTTACGTTTAACATAAAGAAACCTGCTGATAGCTTGAATAAAATACGTGAAAATATAAATATTGGGATTATAAGCATTTAGTTGTTCACATATAACTATGAATTAATTCCTATCATAGAGATTTCGGTACCACAGTTTCATTTTTGTTTGTACAAACTTTTTTGTATGTTGTTATTGAGGTATGCAATCACTAGTGTTGCCCAAATCCGAGACCGAGACGAGTCTTGGTCTTGCAAACTCAGTCTTGGTCATGGTTTTGGTCGTGCCCAAGAGTCTCGCAGTTACTTATTAGCCTATTACTATCAAGATATTACTGTAATTTTTTAGGTAGGAGAAACCTAACTAAGCCCGAATGAAAAATTAGAAGAGTTAAATGCAAAAGTATATTGGTTATACCAATTATTAACATATAGTAATTAAGATTGTCAAGTATTAGTAACTATTTTGCCTCAATTGTTTTTTAAGAAATCGATTTTTTTTACTAGTCGTGGTCTTGGTCTTACAACAGTTAGGCGGCCTTGGTTTTAGTCTTGCAAAGTGCAAGACCAAGACCGATTTTGGGCACCACTAGCAATCATGCTTCAAATATTTCCTTCTTCTTAGGGGACATCCTATATAGTTATTGAGCATATTAATTTGTTGGTGTTTGATAAAATTTTCTACATTTCTTTAGGCTTAAGGCTTCTCGTTAACTATTTTGTCACGGTATACGGGAAGTATCGAAATATCATTAAAAACAATTAATTATTATAAATTATTTCAATTTTTTACCATCCCTTTTTTAACTCATTTTTTCAAAGGCAGACGGGATGAGAACAAACTACCAGAAGCCGGCAGCCGTAGACCCCTCATTAGCGGTACACTATATAATTCGGGCACAGTAGCTACTGTACGACTGATAGGCTCTGTACTGGCCTCGGGCCATGATGTTTGTCGAAAATAAGAAGCACAGCCTCCAAGATAGGAGGCCGCCATTAGCATAGGTAATGTACCATCCAGGGGTGGTATTATCTGTTTAAACAAAGGCTGGAGGTGTATCATTGCTGCGGCAACGGTAGCAACGGCCATCTCTAATGACCGCCTTCGCAGGATTCGGTTGTTGACCATTTGAATAAGGACCAGCCAGCTACCGGATCGCCTCATCAGGACAAAAAAATTTAATAGGACGCTAAAGTCCTTCTTGGATCACCTGGAACACAGGAATTAGGCGGTTCTCCGCCCTGGCGTTTAGACAGATTAAAATCCTCCAGTGCCACTGGAATCTCAATGACACCGCTTCCTCTTAAACTTAAGGAATATACATTGCTCTGAAAGAAAGGCCTTTAATGTCGGAACTCTTAGTACCTGAAACCCTTCATCAGCAGGTAATTTTCTTATGATTGGGTACAGGATCAATCCTTGAAGAAGAAACATGAATCAACTAGTTCTCCAGGCTATCAATTTCATTGTAATCCTCTAAGTAAATTATATTTTATGAATAGTGGCCGCAACGTTTAAACTCATTATCTAATGCAGGTTTGAGAATGATTTTGTGGCTAATATTTGATATAGTATTGGGTTCAATTGTAATAACTAAACAATTTTGGAGAGCTATATTCATCAACAGCATTTATATTTCTGAAATATTTACTTAATTAAAACAAATATACACGATATGCAGACTCGGATCCCATTAAATATTTTTTTAACGTTGAATAAAGTAGAAATTCGTTTTTTCGCACTTCTAAATCCTTTAAATAAGAATTTTCATTGAAAACCAAAAATTAAAGTTTTGTGCTCCATATTTATCCTTCTATTAATAGTTCTTATGGGATTCATTTCTATTTATAAGTTTGCTATCGATGTTATAAACACAACAAAATATTAAGTGAAGTTGCATTGCTTAGTACAAAAAATAACAATAACAATACAATAATTAATAGACCAATAAATAATTATAATAATTATTAGGCCATCAGCCTCTTTATAGACAAACTATGATAACTGACCATAGTATTTCCCACAGTAGAACAGATATACTGTTCGTTCACAAAGAAACAAAAAAACCATCATTACCGAATTTAGAGTTCCTGCTGATGATAATGTGGCTAAAACATTAAGTGAAAAAATTCGGAAGTATCAAGAGCTTTGCTCAAGAGCTTTGGGAACTTCAGGAAATCCAGAAAGCGGTAATGCTGGGAACCGCCAGCATTGTTCGAAAAATATTTAATATTTCAAATTAAATAATCAATAAACTGTATAGTACCCTTGACGTCGATCCGGATCAGTGAATTTAACCGGCATAAAGCCGAGAATTGAAAAAATAAATAAAATAATAATAATATAATTCGCCTCACCCAATGGAAATAAGTATTAATGCTAAAGGTATCCATTCATACAATATATACATATAAGATCTAGAAATATAAATAGTTAAGAGCAAACAAAAAAAAAAGCAAAAATGAACAAACAAATAATTATAATAAGTACTAATAAAGAAAGTGCAATGATAAAAGTAAAATAATGTATAATAATAATAATAAAAAAAGGCTTAGCGAACCCGAAGGTTCGATGCCGACACCACCAATCGCTTATTACACACCTCCCTCCACCGTTCGCCGTCCAAACCCAGTCCCTTCAGATCGGCTTTAATGCAATCTTACCACCTTCGCTTCGGTCTACCCCTCGGACGCTTACCATTCGGCACCGCACATATTAACCTTTTAGGAATTCTCTCGTTACTAAGCCCAACAACTTTACAAGCCCATTTGATTCGCCGCGATGAAATTACCTCAATTATATTACCCGGATACAGCTCACGCAGTTCGGCGTTGTGTAACCGTCTGAACTCTCCGGTTAACTCATCCTTCTTCGGTCCGAATATTCTGCGCAATACTTTATTTTCAAAAACCTTAAGACGCTGCTCATCCCTTAATGTAAGCGGCCAAGTTTCGCATTCATAAAGTACTGTAGGCAAGATAATTGTTTTATAGATTCTAATTTTTAAGTTCCGGGGCAAGAGGCGCGAACCCGCCTTCAGTCTAACCTTAATCTCTTCTTCAATTTCGTTTTTTCTAGTTATCGTAGAACCTAGATACCTAAATTTCTCTACTTGTTCAAACATATTACCATCTATATCGATATCACCAGTAGTATCGCCATTTTTGCAGCTAATCATATATTTTGTTTTATCCACGTTTATTTCGAGTCCTAGTGTAATGTAAAATAATGTATAAGTTTTACAAATAAAAGGATGTACATAAATAGGTAAATACATGCATAGATGTATAGGCGCCACATTCTGTAACCGAGACTGGGTCTCCTCCAATAGCTTTCGCCAGTCAATACGATCAGCTGCAGTATCCCTCTCCAGCTTCGGACGTGGCCGGCCCATCGGAGTCGCCCTATTTTGATAAACTTGAACAAGTCTATATCCTTATAAAGGCCGGTGAGTTTGGCATTTCTCCTTCTTCTCCCGATTCCATAAATAGGTAATGATAACAAAATTAGTAGGCGACTAAAAATAAATTGAAGGTGAATAAAAAATAAATAAAACTATAAGTCATCTAAAATTCAATGATTCCTATATAAAATATTTATATTCGCCCAACAGACTCCGAGCCAAGCATTATCTTTCACATTTAAAAGGCAAACCAAGACTTCAGGAAATCTGAGTACTTCTCTTCCAACTACACCATTGGAATCGGAAGCCAAAGGAATCTGGGAGAGGGCACTTAGTAAACTGCTATTAAATAGAAATTCTGCCATATTCGTTGCTTTTTATTTTTATTTTTTTAATGTTTTTATTGTTAATAATCAATTTTATAGTTGATTGGTTATATATAAAGAGGATCCTTGATGGAACCAGCTGAGGTCACGGAAGTTGTAGGGCAGAGACGATGGGAGGTAGCTCACTGCACCCCTACCGTTTAATGTAAATCGGGCGAGTGGACAGTTTGATGAGGGGGTGCCCTGGGACATGTTTTCCACGGGAAAATTGAGGGTTGCCTCGCGCCCTCCTCTCCAACCTCATTTCCATCAAATTGAGAGCCATTTCTCTGTCATCATGCGAGCGCATCGTAGGGCCGCGCTGGTATCGTGCGCGATTATTATAACAGGCCTAGGCTTCCTGGGCGGATAATTCCCTTCCCCAACTCCTCCTTCTGAATTATAACCATCCCGAGACATATAGGCCGCTCCCGAAAGACACGCGAAGAAGAGGATGAACGATTTGCATACCATCGCGCAACCTGGAGGATCGCCTGTTCGGCTGCTTGGCCTTCGCCCTATGTTTTAGATCTGTTAATATGGTAACACGCAACATTACTCGTATCGCAGGCATTCATTTTTAAAGAAGTAATTTTATATTCAAATTTGTTTATTATTTTCGTTCAGTGAATCGAACTGAATGGACTGCTCAATATAATCTTCAGCTTCCATCTTTTCCTCTTCGATTCAACAATGAAATAACCCTATAATCGAATGTATCTTCATAAATTTCGCTACCTAGAGTACAATGAATGGCTTCTTGCATCATATGATTGACACCTATAACATTTAGCAATTTTGTTTCAATTCCTAGACATTCAACAGGCGATACCTAAGTGGTAAAGTTATGCAGTGATATATTATTATAAATAGTCATGAACTATCTTTATTAATTGATATTCTCTCCTCACAAACATTAAACATAAAGGAAGAATTATAGTTTACTCCAAATACAGGGAACGAAAATATATTAAAAAAAAAAAAAAAAATAGTACTTCCTCTCTTCATCAAGTGTTAAATCTTTTGATACTTGAGTACCTTAGTACCTACTGTGAAACTCATCAGAAATTGTTAATTACCTACCTCTTAATGACTAGTGAAAAGTCCTGAAGTTTCTCGCATTGGGTTTTGATGGGAGGAGATGGGAAAAGGACTGAAAACTGATTTTTTTTAGTATTTTTGGATCTCAAAAACTTGTGAATAATTCAAAAACTATGGAGGATTATTGGTAAGAATAGAAAAAAAATGTCTACCCTTCTCTCCCTCCTTCAATTAAAACCAAACGCGAGAAAATCCAGGACGTTCTACCAGTTAATACGAGGTGGGTGATGAACCATTTCTGACAAGTTTCACGCTTATTTTATTTTTTTTTAATACTCGTAAGCACCCCTAATTTTACTGTTCTATTAGTAGAAATAATATTTATTTATCCACCAAACGTGTACTAGAACTAATCCAATACTAGGGAATATTATGCTAATATTTTATTCTTCAAAGGAAATTTTTTAATAAGAAATTTTTTTAAATTAAATTAAAAATGTTATTAATTATAAAATAAAATATATATATATGACTGGTTCAATATATGGTAATTATATAATGTATTATAATATTTTATTGGTTTTATTCAACTTCTTGGCCTATTACAGTATATGCCTAGTATGTTACAGCAACTTTTTTGTCAAAATTAGCAAACCAGAAGTAACACTTTATATCTTCAATTAACACATTTTTACGATTTTCTCGAAAACGGCTTTAACGATTTTGATTAAAATGGGTGCATCAGTGTATTATTAAGTGGTTTTTAATATCAGCTAGGATCTTACTCGCATTGATGTCGCCTTACAGGGCTTAAATATTTCTTTCTTTAAAGTATCTTTAATTTGGTTTATTATATAATTAACTGTTTCTCATTGTTAGTATTAACAAAAAAACTCAATATAAACTATGAAAGAAATTGATAATAGACTAAAGAAGAAAAAGGTTTATTAAGGTTGAAAATAGATTTCCGAAAATAATCATTAGGAAGCTGAGAATTTCAGAAAAACAATATCTAATATAGAAAGCAGTAGAAAGTAATCTAATAAGAAAGCCATAATTGACGAAAAAAATTATAAATAGTAATTTCTGAAAACTATTGTTATTTAATGGAAACCACATGTTTCCAATAAAATTAAATGAAATTCCATAACTAAACGTAAGCTTTTAAAAATATTAAGTATATTAAATCTATTAAATAAAGGCAACAGCATTGGTTAAAAAATTATTTCATTGTACTTGTGTGAAAGAAGAAGTGAAAAATAAAAATATTTCCTGGATGCGTAGAACATATTTATAACCTTAAATACATTTACTGGAATTTAATCATTTTAAATCTGTTAATATATCTCAATTATTAGGTATACATCGTCGTTTTATTAAAAAAAAATCCCTTTTGTTAAATCAAAAGATTTATATACTCACAATTAGTGTGACGACTTTTAACCTATCGATGCTATATTTTAAAGCAACAACCAGTATTTTGGTAAATTTTCCAAGGGTAAATTATAAGAATATAAATAAATGTAAAAAGAGATAGAGATTTAATTCCTATAATTTTTACTATGGATTATAATCCTTACTTATTCATAATTAAATACATGTACTTTCAAATCTATCTTAGTCTATAGAGCTCAGAGAGTGGAGTTTTGTGATTCAAATCGACTGATGCTGTTATGAGTTTTTTATTGCCTACAATGGATATAATAAATAGGGTTTGTGTTATTTTTATGGTCTTAATGAGTTTTTGCATTGATGAATATGAACGAAGCTAAAAAATATCTTCTTTAACGTTTAGCTACATTAAAAATTATCTTCGAAGGGTTTTTGTAATAGCCAAATTTTGCCATACAAGAATTGATTTTTTAAGTATAGCGGCAATTGAAAGTTGTATGATTTTTTTTTTTTATCTTATATCCAAATTCTTCTGTATTTTCTCTTGAATACGTTTAAGAAAGAATAATGCTGTTCCTCATTCAGTATTAATAGAAATGTACTTAGTTATAAACGTGGACTTGTATTGTATTGCTATACACAAATGAAAACGCTGCAAATTATTTCACAATGGTTTATTATTTTCAAACAATTTTATAGCTAAAGTAACATTATATACCAAGTGATAAAGACAAATGAATAAAAAGCAATTCCAATTATTGGATTAAACATTTTTTTTTAAATCATTAGTAATGTGCTAAAAAAAATAGCATTACTTCAGTAACACATTTAAAAACCAAAAACCAAATAAAGGATATAACATTTGCAATGTAACATATAAAAACATCTAGAGACCATATCTTTCCTCCTAATTGTCCGATTTTAACGATTTTTTTGTTTATACTTTTTGAATATTTCGAAATCTTATTTTACCTCGTAACTTTTTTTCCAGCTCCTTTTCGTTGAAGTATGTTATATAGATAAATTTAAAGGGAATCGAGAATAAGACTTTTGGGTAGTTTCATTGAAATCGGTACATTTCAAGCAATGCAGGTTTTCTGGTCACCATGTTGAAAAGAAAAGGCGGATAGTAATGTCGACGAAGGAGGATCATCCTCGGGTGACCTCTAATTTTAAAGCCAAATTTGAAAAAAAATCGGTCCTGTAGATACGGAGAAAATGCGCGTACGACGGACCGACAAATAATTTTTTATTCCTCTTTCGAATTTTACGTATCCTGAAACGTCAAATTTTGAGAGGAAGTTAAGTTTTTGTATTTTTTTGTTCTATCACAATAGTTCATTATTGAAAATAACAAAAAAAAAAAAAAAAAATCATCTGCTTTATTAATTTCCACAGATTAATCTTAGACTTCCGGACGATCAGACTGCTGATAATGAATATGATCATAAAAAATGTGTGGATTGAAAGTTATTCAACGCAGGTGTCAGGACTGACGAGCACTTGGTGTGCTATTAATGTAGTAATAGCTTGTCAATAGGGCTCCTCTAGACAATTCGAATCAATTTCTAGGAGGAGAAATTAATTTTTACGATCCTCTCTTCCTGGCAGGAGGCGTCACAAATTGTGGGTTGTCCCGGACAATTGAATACGGTTTATGGTCGGGTTTCCGGGTAATGACCGTCATTATGCCGAATCGTCAAAGAGACGCAAGGTGCGACAGATAAGTGATTGTAGAAGTGAGGTGGTAGGAAAACTAGAGTGCCGTAGCCTGGCATGGATATGCTTTGAGTAAGTGTACACCTGTACTAGGTAAAAACACCAAAATCTATACAAATCTTAGTAACAAGAATGGTAGAAATAAAACAAAAAAAAGACCATAAGTGTTACCCAGGAACTATTATGTTTGGCTGTGATGTAAATTTATCCGTCTGTGATACATGAATTGTTGTCAATTCTGAACTAAGCAAGTGGAAAGAAGAGAGAAAAAAAATACTCAAACGTGTGTTTATTGAAACTAGTGTTCGCCCAGTTGTCGAAATTTGATCATAAACATGATTAAAAATTTTAAGAAAACATAAATGAATTTATATCTTTCCAACATTTGTCTCTAATATTATACATTCGTACAAACAATGTTTAATATATACTAACAATTTAAACAGAACAACCAGAGTTCTTCTCATATAAAATTCAGAATACATTGTTATAGTACGTGATACAGACCTCTTTTTTTTTAATTATTAACACCCGCCTTAATCATTTAAGTAGCTTCATCTCATCGTAACCAACAACTGATATATTTGCGAAAGTTCTAGGAATTGGATCATTTTCAATCCGGAGATCTGCAAATATTGTCTATATATTTAGGTACTAAAAACTCATAAATACGCATTTTCTTTCCACTTGAATCATGAGATCATTTGACCAGAAACTAGAGAAAAAAGTTGGCATTAAAAATATTAAATCCTTTGGCCATATAAGCCAAACGGCCCAATATTTGCTTAGGCCACATTTTTTCACAATTTTATGATAAAAATATCTTATGATCCAAGTGGAAATCAAATGGGTATTTACAGTTTTAAATGGCTACAATTCTATCTGTCCACTGTACTCTAAAATATCATCTCTATAAGATTATTAATTATAATAATTAATGGTAAATTCTAAGTATCGTCTGCATAGAGCATAAAATGCATAAAAGTCTTAGTCGGATGACAGTAAAATGTTTCAACATACGCCATAATTTAATACAATTCGTAATTGAACCTGATATATTGCTAGATCTCATCTTAAGGACACTTCTTAGGAATCTTATAGGATATCTAGGATGGGTAACTTACAAATGATTCGCATGGTGAGTAGTGTTGCCCAAAATTGGTCTTGGTCTTGCACAGATCAAGGTAGCCTGACTATAGTAAGACTGACGATTTTTTGAATAAAGTTAAGACAAAATTGTTACTAATACTTGACAATCTTAGTTACTGTATGTAAATCATTGGTATAACCAATATTCTTATTTATATACTGCATTTAACTCC